ACTCTCCTGGAGGAACTGTAGCACAAAGGACTGAAATACACTCAAGACATTTCTGAGCTCTATGTGTGCCTTGCATGAGAGGGAGAGAGACCGTGGGGGGGGGGAGGACTCCTGCTGGAACTGCTGCGGGGGAGGGGGCTTTAAGGGCGGTGCAGGGGCTCTGGGCACACACATGCACACCCCACCCACCCTCAGCCTGCAAAAAGGACTCCATCCATTGGGAAAGAAATCTCTTTTATCTTGCTGGTGAGACCTTCCCAGTCTCGGCAGCAAAACAGCTCCGAGTTTAAGTCGGGTACAAGGGGGACGTTGCGGTATCAGTTTCGCACCCTTGCTCAGCTGAAGGTTTCCATTCTATTTTGGAGTTTTGTGCAAAACGCAGGAAATGGAAATGGAAGTGGGGAGGACAGCTTTGCACCATTCTCTCAAGACTCTGGGTCCCCCTGTGGGTTTCACATGCCTGGCAAGGGATCCAGGACACCCTTCAGCTGCACCCCAAAAGGCAACTCCCTCCTGCGATGGGTCGCCCTCTAGGCGATGGCACCGCCGCAGGGCAAACCCAAACTGTGCAGAGGCTGCGAGCCCGTGGGCTGTCACGGAAGCCACAGAGGCCAGGTGGCTTCTTGCTAGCTAGAGGGGAACACCACAAATCTTTTACGAATGGAAAAATAGGCAATACCGTGATAGACCACAGGAGAATCCTCACACAATACATGGGCTTTTGTGGATCAAACCACCACTTCGTTAGGTTTGCACCACGTGGAGAACTTAAAAGTCTGTGGCAAGGCAGATTTTGCCAGGAACGTGACTCTTAGATGTGAAGTTCAAAAAGGTCTTGACAAGACGGGATTCCCCAGGCAGGTCTCTCTCTGGTGCAGGAAGGGGCAGGAAGGGATGCGGTGGCTGAGGAAGGTGTGGATGGAGCGCAATGGCCCCGTTCCCGAAAACAAACCAGCTCAGGCCATATGCACCGAGGTGCCTCCTTTTCTTGGGCCACCCTCCCAGATGCCGGAATCGCGAACAGCTGCTTCTCTCCCTCTCTCTCTCTCTCTCTCTCTCTCTCTCTCTCTCTCTCTCACACACACACACACACACACACACACACACACCATTGGGCCTTAGGGAGGCCGAGTTTCAACATCAAAAATAACAACACCAACAAATCACACAATTAATACAATAAGTAGCGATTCACAAATAAACAAAAACCCACCGTGACTCATAATCACAGTTTATAACGGTGGTGGGCCAAGGAAACCCCTGGCGCTCACAATAGGATGCACATAAACCTTGGGGGCCCATAAACGGCAGGCGGGGGGGGGATGCCTGCTTCTTGCAGTGAATAGAATGGCGCCTCTCCCCCCCACCGACCCCTCCCCCTTCCATGTGCCTTGCAAAAAGGGGGCCACCGCACAGAAGGCCAAGGGCTTCTCTACCTCTGTTTGCCTCCGGGCTCCTCATTTTCTAGAGAGCCTAAAGATGGAAGGAAGGAGCTGATGATGGATGGAAGGCAGGCAGGCAGGCCGGCAGGCACGAAGGGGGTGGCCGGGAGGGAGG